CAAGTTCGTGTTGGTACGTGCTAGAGTTGATCTCCATCTAATATCCCCATTTCCATCTAAACGTTTCAGAAATCATTTTTATTTAGTGATTGATAAAGCATATGAACCCAAACAGCTGAGACAGAGTTGGCAATTTCATTTGGTGTCATAGGAATAAGAAGTATGGCTTTGGAAATAGAAGCTAGCTACTGTAATGCAGCAGCATGGGCTCATTTTAAAAATTTAAGTTGCTCTAAAAATGAATATTACTAGTAACAAATGTGAATTTAAGTAGACAACATACAACTAAACAATTACAGAGCAGGTCATTTTAAAACCACGCTTTTGTAAGCATCTACCTGCTTCCTTCTTCCTTTATGCGAGTGTTGTTTGGCTTGCACTGTGCATTGCTGTTGATGTAGAGCATTTGGTTGCACACTGCTGAGTTGATGGAGAAGATAGTGCTTTGTTTACACCCCGCTAATCAGAGTACTTGGCACTTTGGACTATTCTGGCTGATACAGATCTGGTAATGTTGGTTGACTTATCCGTGAGTGGAGGGGAGAGCCTGTGAAGTTGGCCACAGTTCCACAGCCACATTAGTAGATTAAAAAAAATAATTCTGAGTTCCTTGCTGGAGACAAGTTAACTTAGATTCATAGAAGGTCTAGGGAAGATGACTTAAGGAATAAGTAACTGAAGAGTATTAAAATGGCATGAATATGACATGTGCTGCTGAACAGCACACTTGTTAAAAGGTCGGTTTCAATGACTGGATAAACATGTGGAGCACAGGTCCATCAGTGACTATTAGCAACAAGATAAAATGCAAGTAGATAAATAGGTACCGCTTTGGTGGGAAGGTAACAGCATTCCATGTGCCTCGGCGTTTAGTCATGCCGGCCACATGACCATGGAAATGTCTTCAGACAGCGCTGGCTCTTCAGATTGGAAAGGGAGATGAGCATCACCCCTAGAGTCAGATTCAACTAGCTTTTGAGCAAGGGAAGCCTTTACCTTTTTATAGCTGGAACACTATGTCTGAGGCAGTGATGCTCTGTATTCATGATGGTTGGGCGGCAGCAGTGGGAGGGCTTCTGGAGTTCTGGCCCCACTGGTGGACCTCCTGTTGGTGCCTGGGCTTTGGCCATTGTGTTACACAGAGAGTTGGACTGGATGGGCCTTTGGCCTGATCCAACATGGCTTCTCTTACGTTCTTATGACCATCTTCAGGACTACTATTATGAGGCAAAATATGGCCTAGTTTTTTATTTGTAGTGTGTAGTAATGCTTCTTTGGTCATGTCCAGAAGACAAAATACTCAACTGGAATACACTTGTTGGCTGTTAGCTTGGGGTTCAATTTCTTTAAGTTTTTTCATGAGTACTTGATGACATTAAATAATTATGGTCAATGTAAGTTTTATTTTGGGCATCTAATGACTTTAAGTTCCAGTAAGCTTATTTTTTTTTTTATGAATTAATGTGTGTTGTGTTAATTCTACACTCATATTAAAGCTGAAGTTGGCCCATGCACTCCAAGGTATATGTGGCTGTGAAAAGCCTGGAGTTCATAATCTGAAGAAGTGTCACTGAAGAGACTGAAAGTGATGTTTTCTTTTTCAGAAAGCTAAGCTGGTGTATAAGCTGGTGTATATCATTCCAAGTATCTGGGGGGAACAAGGTTTCTATTTCCATTAAGGATGGTGAAGCAAGGCTGGAAAGATAAACTTCTTGAGGTCTAGAGACTTGAGTTGGATAAATCATACATTCCTATGATAGAGGCATCTGTCTCCACAAGCTGATTTCTGAGATCTTAAAAACATTTCTGTGACCATATGTGGCCAATGAGCTTGCACATTATAACTTACTGTGAGGCATTTTGTACGTATCCAAAATCTGAAGGAAATACATTCCATAAATAATGTCCAAGACTGCTAGGTCAGTGGATTCTTAAATAAAGCAAGTAACATAATAATACTAACTATGAAGATTATCATGATGATGGCAAGGCAGTTTGCTGTAGTGGTTAAGAGCTGTGGACTCTGATTTGGAGAACCAGGTTGGATTCCCCACTTCTTCACATGCAGCCAGCTGGGTGACCTTGGGTCAGTCACAGTTCTCTCAGAGTTGTTCTCTCAAGAGCAGTTTCTGTCAGAATTCTCTCAGCCCCACTTACCTCACAGGGTATCTGTTGTAGGAAGAGGAAGGGAAGGAGATTATAAGCCGCTCTGAGGCTCCGAGTAAAGGGTGGGGTATAAATCCAATCCTCCTCCTCCGGTATGATTTTTGTTTTCTCTTGTATTTTCCCTCCTGCAGTTATTGAATTTGAAGTTCAAAGCACTAGCCTGACCCTCAAGAATGCTTGTCACTTTCAATTCATGCTTCAGTTCTCTCAGTCTTTTGAAGGGAAATTCATTTGCCCCCATAATTGGAATAAAGAGACTCGCACAGGTGTGTTGGTATAAATAAAGGGCAGCTTTATTAAATTTAACTTTAAGTGAATGGACTGTAACTCAGCAAGGGCCAACTAAAAACATAAGCCAAGGCAAAAGGATACACCCTGGTCCCTTTCCTGGCCAGAAATGGGTGAGCCACCGAGCCCCTGGTGCAAGCCGATAATAGCATGGCCATTGCCAGGTGGCAAGACATGCGAATCACCCCATGAAAGGAAGCCAGCCACCTCAAGCCACAGAACTTGAGGGGAGGCCAAAAGCAAGAGGCATTGCAGGCTGTTTCCATTCCCCTTTGAGGCTTCTGCAAACAGATGGTTCCTGCCAAGTGTGCCCGCCCACCCCCAATTGAGGGGGGTTTCGCCTGCTGGTACTCACCACCCTAACCAAATCAGCCAGATTCCTGCAAAGGGGAACCTAGTTAAAGGCACCGTCCCTCAGTCACTTACCCAACCACAGCATACAGTGTGAGGTACACAAAGACGCCCCCCTCTCCAGGCCAATCTGAGAGAGGGTAAAAAATTCCTGTGCGGCTCCAAAGCTGGCAACCAGCAAAAGCCCATACTATAGAAAGGAGGGCGATTGAAATGCAAAGACTGCCCAGTAGAGGGGCAGGCAGAGCAAATTAAACCAAAGGCTCCGCCCCCTGAAAATAGCGCTATGGGCAGGAATTGCCTGACCAGTCTCTTGCTCCTCCTGTGGAGGCAAAGGAGGCCCTCCACTCTAAAACAACCACAAGGGCCGATTTCCTTCAGTAGTAACATACATTTAAAAGTCCTTTTCCGAGTAACCAGGTCAGTCATGCCTTAGGCATTCATCCGCTAGGCCCGAGACCTCCGCCTCTCCCCCCTCACTGCCCCTGCCATTTCTGCAATTGTCCGTATCTCACTGCCACCACCCACTCCCTGGGAACGGAAGAAACCAATGCTTCTTGCACCTTTTCATTTCCCCAAGCCTCTCTAAAACCAGCGTTAGTAAGCTGTATGTGCCATATAGGGAGTCCTGAATTTTTGTGAGGTTCGTTCCTCTTGTGAGAATCCAGCTATCATTTTGGTTGCCCTGGAAATCAAAGCCTTGCTAGGGAGTTTGGGGGACTGGAGATGGCACATCAATCCATCCGGCTCAAGGCCTGGGGCAGAGATGGCAGTGAGGCGAGGGCAGTGGCATGTGGAGGATGGTAGGTTGCTGTTACCCCAACTCCACCACTGGAGGCAACTGCCTCACCTCACTTCTTGGATGACTCCGGTTTGGTAAAGATTCATGGCTGTCCTTAGGTGCACCTTGCCTTTCTTCAGCATCCAGGCGCTACGTGCGGACGTAAGTTAATGAGATGCCAATGTCTGTTTTTTTAAAAGAAAAAGAAAAAGCTTTAGGAGATGGGAGATCAGAGTGCAGGAGTATTTGGAAAGAGAGGATACTTGCGTCTACTGTTTCTCCGCTGCCACCAGCTGATCTTCTAGAGATTGTCAAACGCAGATATTTTAGAGTAGACATTGCAGCAATCTGGCCCTAAGCTTTAGAACATTGTGCAGTGGGGGGGACACCACTAGGGCTGCCAGCTCCAGGTTGGCAAGTACCCAGAGATTTGGGGGGTGGAGCCTGAGCAGGGGAGGGTTTGGGGGAGGGGATGGACTTCAGTGGGGAATAATGCCATCCTTCCAAAGAGTCCACCTTCCGAAGCGGTCATTTTCTCCCAGTGAATTGTTCTGTCACCCAGAGATCAGTTGTAATAGCAGGAGATCTCCAGCCACCACCTGGAGGTTGACGACCCTAGGAACTACCAGCACTGGTTTGGAGTAGAAAGATACTGGATGTGGGAAGTACTCTAAACCAGTGGTGTCAAACATGCAGCCCGGGGGCCGAATGAGGCCCCCAGAGGGCTTCTGTCAGGCCCGCAGTGGAACTGGCTGTCTTCTGCTTCTTCTTCCAGTTCTGCTGCTGCTGCATCATCGTAGGTTTGAGCTTACAGATACACACCTGAACCGCACACTCAAGATTGCAACAGCACAGACATTTTGATGCAATAATTCAGATCAAGAGGTGTCGGTTATCAGACACGGTTAAATAAACAAGATATTGCAAGAATGCTGATGTTTTAAGCATGTTTTTATTTTAAGTAAAAAAAACAACACCCCTGTGTTTGTGTCCTTTATAAAGTTTATATCTCTGCTACCTGGCATTACCTTTTATGACACACGTGGCCTGGCCCAACGAGGTCTCATTTGTGTCAGATCCGGCCCTCATAACAAATGAGTTCGACACCCCTGCTCTAAACAGTCCACAAGCTGCTTTTACTTTATTTAAGAAAGGGTAAGTCCATTGGGCTCGTGGCGCATGCATCTGCATGGGACACTGATCTGTGCCCCATATACATCTTGCCTTTCAGCCTCAGAAGGGCCATGAAGGCAGCTAACAAAACATGCATAGTAAAATCACATTTTAAAACCATTATAACCAACCAAATAGCAACACATCATTAAAACAACACATCATAAAAACAACAGTTGAGACATGGGAAGGAAGGATCACCGAAGGAGTACCAAACAGAGTTTTTGCCGGCTGGTGGAAGATGGCAGCAGAAGGCACAGGTGAGTCTCCTCCAAAGAGAGAGTTCCAGAGTTTTGGTGCCACAACTGAGAAAGACCAGATATGTACAGTGAGACGAATTCCATATATTCTGAAGTAAATCCTAGTGAATTTAGTACAAGTTTCTCCCTAACAAGTTTGCATTGAATTGTCTCCTTAGTTTTTTGAAGCATGTGTTCTTATCTACTTCACTACTTTGCGTTGTGCTTGACTTAATGTTTATCTTTATGAAACTTGGAATAGTGCCATACCTATTGGGACATGAGCCCTTCTTTCATTGGACTTCCTGCTTTAACAACTAGGGTGGTATAAAAACATCAGCTATGAAACTCACTGGAATGCCCTAGGCAAGCTTCTGTTTCTCAGCCTAAGCGACTTCACAGGTTTCCACGAGGCTAATAGGCCACTCTGAACTCCTTAGTCTCAATATAGCCAAGGATTTACCAGTATGAGTTTGCGCATTCCCGAAGTCTCTTTTAAACTGTATTGCTACAAATGCAATGTTAGCATGCCAGTGCAAAGTGTACATAGGTTATAGATCTTTGGCATACTACCACTGCATACATGCTAACAGCCCTGACCTGGATAGTCCAGGCTAGTCAGATCTCAGAAGCTAAGCAGGGTCGGCCCCGGCTAATATTTGGATGAACTGCCTCCAAGAAATAGCAGTGGTATGATGTAGAGGCAGGCAGTGGCAAATCACCTCTAAAACACCTCTTGGCTTAAAAACAAGTCTAGCTCGCCACCTAGTGGTGTGTGATACTAAAAGAGCTAGAACTTGTGGCTGTCAGGTAATCTTCAGATCTCCTGGCTATACTACACACGGTGCCATATGATAATTATTAATTACACATACTGATACTGCATCTGGTTTAAATGAGGCATAGTGTGTTTATCCAAAATCACACAATTGAGTTACCGTGAATGGTTTCACTTTTAAATCGTTTCTTAACATAGGATTTACTACTGTCTTGGAATAGTTAACTTCTGTATGTTATATGTGTGTTTATATATGTTTTTCTACAGGGCACTTCGCAAAGAGGAAGAAAACTTCTCTTTGGTTCACTGTTGCTTTGTTGGTAGTATCTACTTTCATACTGACCATAGGCCTTGCGGCTACCACAAGAACAGAAAATGTAACCGTGGGAGGCTATTACCCAGGAATAATTGTAAGTGGAGTAGAAATGATGATGTATCACACATTCCGATATTCATTATGCTGTGCTATGAAATAGGCCAGGGGTCCCTGATTTTGTTGAATCTGCGGGCACTATAGGAATTTTGAGAACACATAGTGGGTGTCACAACAAAATTGCTGGCATGGAGGAGAGGAGGTGAACCCACCCCTAAATGGCTACCATGGTGGCTGGATCCAATCACAAAAATCTCATGAGGTTCTACAAAATGTTAATAGGTTCCAAGCCAAGCATCCTCCCATGATGGAAGCAGCTGGTTCCAAATGGATGCCCCCTGCAGACATAAAAAGTGAAAATTCATGGGCTGAAGCAAATTTCTGCTCTACTGGAGGAAAGCCAGTAATGACCAATGTTCCCTCTAAGCTGTGGAGTCTTGTGAGCAAAAATTCTACTTTGTGAGCTACTGGCATTGAAGTTGAGAGCCAGCGATTTGGCTGCTGCATCAATTAGTTTGGCTCTGGAGCTGTTCTTTCTGAGTGAAGACAAAAATGTGTGCGCTGCAGGCTAAAAAACTGTGAGCTAGCTCACACTAACTCACCTTAGAGGGAACACTGGTAATGACTCTGTTTTGAGGAAGAGATGCTTCAGGAGAGAAGTGAGTCAGTGCCCGGAAATACATTGGCAGACACCATGGGTATCCACGGGTACCAGATTGGGAATTACTGGACTATCCACTGTCCATTTAGATGAACAGAAACAACTGTAAATCTGTTGGGGTACTTCAGCCTAAATATCTGCATCTGTGTTTCTGCTTGTGATGTCAGTGTGACATCATGTCTTGTTGATCGAACGCTGTTTGTGATCCAGGAGCAGGTTTCCTGAAATCTGAGGGAAATTGCTCTAACGATCATTAATGGGTGTGAATACCTGTGCATGGAGGAAATACAGAGAGAGTACACATCTTGAAGGATAACTGACCATACTCAAAGTAAGTTCAGGGCAGGTTGGATGAATGCAGACCACGCTAGAAATATCGGTAAGAATGTTGTGGCATCAGCCGCATTTCTCCCTCATGAGTAATATTTAATGGGAGAGCCTAAGTGACAATTACTTCCCACTGTATTTAACATAAATAGATTTATGGTGCATTAACTAGGGGAATACAAAATGAGCTCAAGTTAATCTATCTGTGCTGTAAGATAATGTCTTATTTACAGCATCACACTATGATTGAAGATGTTTTCATCCAGAGGCGAAGAAAATTGTGCTCCAGAGAAAATTAATCAAGAAATAAAATAATTATGTAAACCTCCTGTATATTTTAGGTGTTTCGTTTAATTAGTTAATTTTTATTTTTGTTAATGTTATTTGTTAATAGGTATGGTTATCATAATATTTGATCCTGCGTATGAAACTTGTGCATAGTTAAGACACCTCTGGCTGTTTGGAGAAACCTGTAAAAGTGGTCCTTTTTCACTTAAAATTCCAAGCTGAGCATAATCTTTTAAATTAATCTTTTAAATTTCCCCCCTATAATGTACAAAAACAATTGTGTTTAGATGACCTTTTTCTGTTTTGAAGATATTGCAGGCTAATAGATCCAGTAATTAAGAATGCTTGGTAGTTAATATAGTATGGAATGCCCCGTTATCCATGTGTGTCTTCAGCTTACCGAGATAGATCTAAAATGTTATGGTGCAATAGTTTTGAGTAGTTGTCCTTGGAAAAGGAAGGATAAATTGAAAGGAAAGAATAGCTCTCCCCTCCTGGCTTCCTTTAGCCATCATGGCAGCTTTGGTAATGAATTACTAAATTCCCAATTTCAAGCCCGGATACAAAAGAAATTAGACATATATTAATCTATTGAATAATGGGCAAATCCTGTCTATGGGTCAGTTGACAGAAACAGTAGAAGATACCCTTGTGCTCTGGTTGCAATACCTGCAATTACAGACGTTGCTAAACCCAAAGGGCTTTAAAAATGCAGTTTGTAGAGAACTCTACATTAGGAAGAAGGGCAGGCATACATTATATAAATGAAAGGGAACTTAAAAGGAGCAGTGACTTCTGAAAACTACAAAATGCAAAGCAACCCCCCGCAAGCAAATGCAAATCGCCCAGTCCCATCATCCGCAACCAGACTGATAATTTACAATTATATTCACAAATGGTAAGAGAATCAGGCAACCCGATAAAGACCAGGAAATAATTTATTATGCTTGATGCAAATCAGAGGTCTAGAAAGACAGAGAGTCAGTAGACTTGGGAAACACCAATAGTGCTTTGAATGCCCTCATGGAACAGCCTGGCATGGCTATTGCATGGGAAGTTTTTAAAAAAACATTCCACAAAATAGGTCTGAAAAAAAGACAGAAATGCAACACGGAAAGCAGTGAATTGCAACAGAGTGCCAATATCACCAAATGAATGCTGTCTTAAAGTGATGGAATTAATCATGACATCTTCAGATTAAATGGCTAATGTAGAGGACTGATATGTGGTAGAAAATTCTTCTCATCCTGCAGTACTCTAGAACTGACCACTTCTAGTTCCTGTAATGTGGCACATTCTGTCAGGAATAAAATACTGGTGGGCTAAAATCCTATATGACTCTACTAATGGAGACTGCAGAAACAACCTTCCATTTGGTTTTGTATATACCCTTTATCACATTGAGATTGTCACTCTAACCTGGCTATATTCCGGGCAAAAGCACATAACAGCCTAAAAAGAGAAAAAACCTCTCACCCAAGACAGAACACACATAGAAAAGACCTGCAAAAAACAGATCCAGGACAAGTAATCAAACCACACTATTTAGATCTAACTAGACATCATCTCACTAGACATGTATGGCTGCGAGAGCTGGACTATAAGGAAGGCCGAGCGCCGAAGAATAGATTCTTTTGAACTATGGTGCTGGAGGAGACTCTTGAGAGTCCCTTGGACTGCAAGAAGAACAAATCAGTCAATCCTCAAAGAAATCAACCCTGACTGTTCCCTGGAAGGCCAGATAATGAAACTGAAGCTCAAATACTTTGGCCACCAAACGAGAAGGGAGCACTCACTGGAGAAGACCCTGATGCTGGGAAAGATTGAAGGTCAAAGAAGACGGGGACGGCAAAGGATGAGATGGTTAGACAGTGTCATCGATGCAACGAACATGAAGTTGAGCCAACTTCAGAGGACGGCAGAAGACCGGAAGGCCTGGAGAGAGCTCGTCCATGGGGTCGCGAAGAGTCGGACTCGACTGTGTGACTGAACAACAACAAGACATCATCACCTGCAGTATATAAGGGCTGCTCCGGCTGCTGCCCATTGAAAGGGGCCAATTGTTGTCTCTCCCTCCCCTTCTGCATGATGACTAGTCCATGATGGAGAGGGAGAGGCCAAGTAGACTAATGGAAGAAGTCTCAGTTCTCTCTCCTTCTGCAGAAAGTTTGGCTATTTATGGGGCCCAAGAGGAACAGGTTATTTGTATGATAATGGATATTTGTATGATCATAAGAAGTGACCTATGGTGGTATCTTAAGCAGAGTTACCATCCCTCTAAGACAGTTGAAGTCAGTGGGCTTAGAAGGGTATAACTCTGCTTAGGGGGCACTGCTAGTTCCTGGACAGCATCCCAGCATACAAAGTCACAATATGTCCTGTCTATGGAATTGCTGCCATTGTGTCTGTTTCTCACTTTTGCTACACTAACCATTACCAGAAAGTTTGTGGCAGTGGTTGTTTAAATGCTTCCTGAACTGCCAAAGAAACACAGTAAACATTTTTTATGATGATGATATCAGTAGCATTTTTGTTTGTTACCTAGTTTCCCTGTTGGGAACTAAGAGCCTGAGAATTACTATTTGTGCATGATTTAATGGTGAACACACCCTTCAGATCTAACTAGACACTGTCCTTTTAGCAAAGATGCACAGTCTACATTCTGGATTTCTCATGGTGCTGATCCATCTGTTCAAAATCAGCAAGAACATATGTACAGTTATTCATGCAGCTGTACATGTAGAGAACATGAATTTATGCATGCACAGTCGGATGTCTGAAAAGGGCTTGCATTAGTGAGGCTGAAGGCTTGCATTAGTGAGGCTGAACTCCCTTTAGTTTTCAGTAAAAGCAAAAATATTTGACTTGCTAAAGCCCGTTGCCTCATTCTCCGTCTCCTAAATGTGGCTAGACAATCAGGATCATGCAATGCCTTTTATCTTCCCTTTTGCTCTTTCTTTGTGAAGTAAACTTTCCCTTCTGTTGTTTGTGATAGCCGTAGCGTAGAATCAGATGAAAGCTTGCTAGCTTTGCAAACTTTGATTAGCGTTAATCTAACCATGTTTAGCAGTATCCTCAGTGCCAAGAGCATAGCATTTTAGCTGAGTTGAACCCAACCATGGATGAGGTCTTCAACTAGTTGCATAATCTTGGTCTCTTAACAGTGGCTAAGAAACGGGATAGTGAATTGGAGGCAGGCTAAATTTTTCATTCGTGGAATGGAACTTTCCTGCCTCTCTCCTCGAATCACAGCCCACCTCTTTGCAAAAACTGCTGCCGCTGAGGGATGGGGGCCATGAGGAATGAAATGGAAGCTCTGTAGCAGAAAGGAGAACAGGTCAAAATTGCCACTTTAGTTTGGATCCAGCCTATTATATATGCAAAAGAGGTTCTTAACTAATAAAGTATAGCCCTTTGCTCACTGTCTTTTTCTGAATAACTAAAATTAATGCATCTTGTATTAAATAGCCAATATGACCTATTTTTCTCGGTTTGTTGTTTGCCATAGCTTGGCTTTGGATCCTTCCTAGGGATTATTGGTATCCATCTGGTGGAGAACCGGAAACAAATGGTAAGTAAGCTATACATTTAAATCATGTTTTTAAAATCTAAATAAATTAATAGGCCTAATTTGAATAAAAATGAGGAAATGTGCAATCCAGTTAGTAATGAAGGTGATCCTGAATGTAACCCTGAATGCTTCTGTTTTTCATAGCAGTTCCTGGTGATACTCAGAGAAGGTTCAAATCAGTACAAAGTACAGGATTCTGCTCACCAGTTTCTCTCAGACTAACCTACCTCACAGGAGGAAGGTTGAGGAAAAATGGGGAAGGAAGATGTACATCACCCTGAACTCCTCGGAGGAAGGGTACAATAAAAATGTACTAAATAGATACATAGTTGGCATCTCAAATATTGTACAGTTTCTTTCTCGGCAGGTAGTTTCAGTGGGGAGGTTGTCTGTGAATAACTAAAAACGCAACCCTTAGCACAGTTACTAGGTAAAGACCACTGAATGCTGTGGGTTGTGCTTGTGAGAAAACATATTCAGAGTTGGGCTGCGTGGTTTGTTAGAGTACCTCTTTTGACAACTTGTTTCAGTGCAAAAGGTGTGTATGTGTCACTGATTGTCAGTCGTCTTCTGTTTTGCTTCTTGTGCTAGAGAAGAAATCAGATTACTCAAGAGATACAAAATAAAATCTAATGACACTGTGTCACATCACCTCAATGACCGCTCGAGTGGAGGTGGCTTGGAGCAGAAGGGGCTTCTGGCACACTTTCTGGATCACTGCTCAGCTGGTCAGGGGGTGACTGTGTGGGTGGGATGCTTGGAATGGAAAGCACATTCTCTGTCAACTTTGTCTGCCAGGCATCCCCCTCTGCAGTGGCCAGCTAGGTGACTGTACATCTTGAAGTGGAAGGCATACTGGAAGTGATTTCTACTGCAAGCCCCTCCAGGTGGCTGGACGAAGTTTTTGGCATGGGTGGGGACTCGGGAGGCTTGGGGTAGCTTCTCACAGCAAGGACTGCAGGAACCAGTAGGGCAGGGAATAATACCCCTAAGAGCTTTTGTGAGTCCCCCACTTGTCAGGTCATAAAATCCAACAATTAAAATAATCCATGAAGACAGAAGAAGAAGAAGAGATTGGATTTATACCCCGCCCTTCATTACCCAAAGGTGTCTCAGAGCGGCTTACAAACTCCTTCCCCTTCCCTTCCCCACAACAGACACCCTGTGAGGTAGGAGGGGCTGAGAGAGCTATTGACAGAAACTGCTCTTTTCCAAGAACAGCTCTTATCAGAACTATGGCTTGCCCAAGGTCATCCAGCCAGGTGCAAGTGGAGGAGTGGGGAATCAAACCCGGTTCTCCCAGATTAGAGTCCGCGCACTCAACCACTACACCAAACTGGCTCTCCACCAAACTACACCAAACTGTCTGTCCACCAAAGACAGAGGACAGCAGAGGCATCAAACAGCAGAAAACACCACCGTCCCCATCCACTCCAAAGTCCAATAAGACCAAAAAGAAAAGGTATTAAAATAATAGCATATTAAAATAATAGAAGGCTGTCTTGGCCTTTAAAAAAAATCTTATTGTTTAAGCATTACAGAGATGGTTTTAGCTTCCTTCTCATGGCTGTCTTTATTGCCCTCAACAGGGAGTCTAGTTAAAGCTAGGAAATGTGCTTGTCTCAATTTAATCAATAAAGGAGCATCTGTGAATGGAGGTTCTTGGCTGATAGATGGCTGCAGTGCCCCAGCTTCCTTACTCTTATCTTGATTTATAATTTTATTATCTTTTTCTTTAGTGGTGGGTGGGTGTTTCTTGATTATATTTTTGGTAGGCTTAACTTGTAATGATGCTTAACCAAGTGTTTTCATTGATGCTCACCAGGGGAGTATTAAGTAGCACAGCGTGACTGTTGAAATGTTGCTTCCTAATGTCGGCTGTAAATTGTGTTTCTCTGTTCCATGCCATGGTCGTTCTGTTTTTTGACGTCTCACAGTCCGCTTCAGTGAGATGGCAGAGGCTGGCTTGGGGCTAAAAGCCTGCTCATATAAGTGAAGACATCTTGCTCATGTGAACTGAAGTATTGCAATTTTTCAGTTCACAGAAAAGAGAACACAATCTTGTGAATTCCCTCATTACATTGCTATACCACTCACATGAGCCACGCTTCCAAGCAAGTTGTTTCTTGTTGGAAACAACTTACCACTGATAATACAAAATCACAGGGGGGTGGGGAATTGATTTGAAGACAGTCAAGCTCATACTGCATCCCTCCTTGGTGGACTGTCATACATTCATGGTCTGCATGTGACTTGGTGGGTTCTAAGTCGTGAACGCTTGTCTTGAGGGAAAACATACAAGAGTTCTGGAAAAGGGCGATCCCCTCTGCCCACCTAATAAGTTTAACATAGGGAAAATTTATTTCTTGGTCCTGTTATATCAAACAGATTTTGAATGTAAAGCAAAACTGACTTACTGAATCTCTCTTAGACAAGATCTGCTTTGTATACCCATCCAATCAAGGTAGAAGAAGAAGAGGAGGAGATTGGATTTATAGCCCACCCTTCACTACCTGAAGGAGTCTGAGTGTCTTACAATCCCCTTCCCTTCCCCTCCCCTCCCCACAACAGAACTCTGTGAGGTAGGTGGGGCTGTGCTTTTGAGAGAACAGCTCTGAAAGAACTTATGACTGACCCAAGGTCACACCAGCAGCTGCATGTGGAGGAGTGGGGAATCAAACCCAGTTCTCCCAGATTAAAGTCCACGCTTTTAACCACGACACCAAACTGGTTCTCATGGTATTACCGCTCAAAGAGAAAACACTTAAACCAACATTGGACTGGCTTTTGAGCAAGGGAAACCTTTACCTTTACCTTAAAATATAGAACATGGCATTTTTCTTTTGTGTACAACATATTCATATAAGCTTAAAGAAGAAGAAGAAGAGATTGGATGTATACCCCGCCCTTCACTACCCAAAGGTGTCTCAGAGCGGCTTACAAACTCCTTCCCCTTCCCCTCCTCACAACAGACACCCTGTGAGGTAGGTGGGACTGAGAGAGCTCTGACAGAAACTGCTCTTTTTTCAAGAACAGCTCTTATCAGAACTATGGCTTGCCCAAGGTCATCCAGCCAGGTGCAAGTGGAGGAGTGGGGAATCAAACCCGGTTCTCCCATATTAGAGTCTGCGCACTCAACCACTACACCAAAGCACTACACCAAACATGGTGTTTGTGTGCTTTGAGGGCCAGGTCTTAGCTCTCTCATCCCAAATAAGTTTCCAGGAAAATTTGGACAGTATAGAAGATAGCAGTATATAACTTTTTAAAATAAATGATTCTTTCAGAATAGCAATAACAGAAGGCAAGAAAATTACAAGCCATTTTAATACAGCTGGGAGAAATTGTGTCAGGTGATAAAAACTGAAGATTGTTAAATAACACTATTTAAAGGAAGGGAAATGAAAGAACATTACAAGAGTTTGGCTCCAGCTATTTTTCCCTCTGCTGGAGAATGGAGGAGGGGTCGCTTTGATCAGCTGTAAAGTCTGTGCTGGGACCCACAGGGACAAAAGGCATATAGGAAGGAGGCTGTGGAAAGAAGGAGTTGGATGAAGCTGCATGAAGAAGCTGGCTGGATCCAACCCAGGAAGACATTTTTAAGCAGAGCTTGCCCAAAGAGGGAAACTAGTTCATGTAAAATAAGAGGCCGAGGTTGGAACAGCATATGTGTACTTAACATGATTTTATTTTAGGATATTTTTGTATTGCAGAACACAGCCACTGGGGCTGCAGTCGGTAGGGGGAAACTGGTGTGGAGGAGATGGTGCTTTGCAATCCTTGACTGTTAGGCCATTTTCATGCTGAAAATTGTCTCTCACCAAGCTTGTTTAAATTTACGCCCATTGGGGAATATGTATAGGTACTCGCTCTATACATGAAATATATATGGACACTTTACATTTTCTCCAGTAGGAGACAAAAGGAACTTGAGTATGTCAAGTTTCAATGAGATAATGGAAGATGGGGGAAAGGTTTAACGAGGACTTCTTCCCCATGCTGTTTTATCTATCCTTCCTCTAAGGCAGTGGTGGCGAACCTATGGCACGGGTGCCAGAGGTGGCACTCAGAGCCCTCTCTGTGGGCATGCGTGCCATCGCCCCAGCCAGGACCAGACCATCATTAAAGTGTCGAATTCTCTGCCAAATAATTTTAAGTAAATGAAAGCATTTGGGATTGCTTTCCTTACTATGTTTGGATCACCTTAAGTTAATGTATGAGTTGATTTTTTCTAAAGTAAAACCTCAGGATCCAGGTTAAATTGCCGTGTTGGCACTTTGCGATAAATAAGTGGGTTTTGGGTTGCAGTTTGGGCACTCGGTCTCTAAAAGGTTCGCCATCACTGCTCTAAGGAGTGGGTTTAAAGGACAGATTGTGCTGTTCTCCTTACTCCCATATTGCCTTTGCAAACAAACAGAAGAGTGAGTGGCCTGAGATCGCCCAGTCAGCATAATGCTGAGTAGGAATTTGAACCCAGACCCCCAGTCCTAACTATTATATCTCATTCACATCACTGTACTGCCGTCCCTTTAGATCACTCTCCCAGCCAGCTACGTTTTGTAAAAAAAAATAAGCCTGAAAATGGTAGATCAAATGAAGCCTGAACTCCCCATAGAAGCTAAAAGGACTACATTGAGGCTATCATACTTTGGTCACTTGAGAAGAGAGGAGTCACTGGAAAAGACAATAATGCTAGGGACAGTTGGCTGCAGCAGGAAGAGAGGAAGACCCAACATGAGATGGATCGACTCCATCAAGGAAGCCATGGTTTACAAGAGCTGAGCAAAATGTTAATGATAGGACATTTTGGAGGTCATTAATTCATTACACACACACACAGAGAGAGAGAGAGAGAGAGAGATGCTTTTAAAAGAATGTAGTTCCACCTTGGCATGGAAGGATAGGCAGTAAAGAGGAGAAATGAACGGGGTTGATAATAACCACTAGTGGCGTGTCACTTGCAGAACATGTACCTCCAGCCCCTTCTTATCTTCTATAGC